GCTTTGATTGCATCGCGTACGCCGACTCTCGCTCGGCATTCCCTACTTGTCTCTGGGGCCGTTTTGTTGCGCAGCTTGTGGCTCGAGGCCCCGAGGGGTTGCTCAGCCACCGTTGGGCGGCCGCCCCCACCCTCCCGTTGGGTGCGGGCATGGCCGCCGACGCCGCCGGCGACGGCGCCCAGGGCGACGCCCTTGACCCCTCGGGCGCCGCCGAGAGCAACAGCGAAGCTGCTCTCGCCAGCGGAGAGCGTCGCGGGCCTCGCAACGCGCTCTTCGCTGACAGCGGCCGGCGTTTCACGTCCACAGCAGACGCCTCGCCCAAGGCGCCTGTATTCTCGGAGGGCGGCGCGCGCGGCCCCGACCCTGCCGCCGCCAGCGCTGGTTCGGCTCCCCCAGCCGCCAAGCGCCCGCCACCCCTGGCCCTCCGCTCCAAGGCCGCAGCGGCCCCTCCGCCTGCGATCGGGGGGGGCTCGTCGCGCGTCGGCTCGCAGGAAGCGCCAAAGGGGGCCACGGCTGCTACCCCCCGCGTCTTCCAGCGAGCGGCCAGGGTGAGCGCGTCTCGCCAGCTGCTTGGCGTCGTGGACGGGGCTTCGCGCAGCACCATCGAAGCCGCCTTCAGGCGCCAGTCCTTAGTCTACCATCCAGACAGGACCCCTGCGCACTTGGGGGCTGGCGAGCGTGCAGCCCGCGCGCTCAAGTGGAAGCAGCTCTGTGACGCCAAGTCAGTGCTGCTCCAGGCGCTCTCGCAGGCCGCCGCGCCGCCCGCTGCTCCTAGCACGGGCGGCGACGGTCCTGCCGCTCGCGCCTTCGCCCAGGCAAAAGCGGCAGGGAAGGGCGCCCGCAAGGGCAAGCTGGCTCCTGGGTCGGCCATGGCCCTTCAGGCGCTCGAGGAGGCGGTCTCTTCGCGGGTCGCCCTGGCGAGTGCCGAGCTGGCCCCTCGGGCTGCCCTCCCCGCCTCGGGCGCGCCTCTCCCGAGCAGGGTTTCGTCCGCCCTCGCGACGCGGGCGGCTGAGTCCGATGCCATCCTCGCCTCCGCCGTGTCGCGCGGCCGCGTGGAGCTCGACGCGCTCCGCACCGCGCGGGCCGACGCCACAAGGCGCACGGTGCAGGCTCCAGCACGCGGCGAAGGCGAGCGTGCCGTCGCTCGCGCCGAGCTCGCGGAGGGGATGGCCGACCGCGCCTACTTCCGCCGCTTGCGCGAGGCCGCCAGTCGTGAGGCCGCGGGCTTGCCACGTACGGCTCCCGTCCAGCTGGGTCGGGATTGGCGCAAAACTCTGCGCGCCGTCCTGCACAACGCTGAGGTCTCGACGGGCCTCGCCAATGCGGATCGTGCCGCTCGTGCTGGGGACGCCCCCGCGTCGTCCACGGGGCGCTCCCTGGCCGATGTGGAGGCTGAGGACCCGCGCGCCTTGGCGAGGCCTGCCGACGACCCAGCGTCCAGCTTCAGCCGTCGCGAGGGGCGCGCTGTCCGCGCCCGTTTGGGCCCGCGGGAGGAGGCTGTCGAGGACCAGCCCAATCGCGGTGGTCACGCACCACACTCCGCCTCGCGCACGGGCGCCGCGCGCAACAAGCGCGCCAAGAAGCAGCGGCGGGCTTCGACGGCGGCGCTTCCCGCCCCTGAAGAGGGAGCCGCCACGACGCCTGGCCGCAGGTCGCGTCGCACAGCTAATGCGCGCCACTGGGCAGGTGCCGCACGCCCCAGCTCCGCCGCGGGAGTGGGCCCTCCACCGCGGAGCCGCAGCCCTGCCCGCAGCCGTACGCGGTCGCCGAACCCGTACGGGACTGATCACACTTCGCCCTCGGGAGGCGGCTCCTCGCTTCCCATCGACGTCTCGAGCGCGCCTGAGGAGCCGTCGGGGCCGCCGGCGGGAGAGGCATCGGAGGGCCCGCACACTCCTGAGGGGTCCCCTCCAGCGAGCGCCCGCAGCCGTTCGAGAGCGGAGCCCGCGTGCGAGGAGGACTCTCCGACGGAGCTCGAGGACGTCGTTTTGAGTGCTCTCACTGACTCCTCGGTGGACCTCGAGCGCGTCGTGGCGGGCCTGAACCCCGAGGTCCTCCGCCGCTTGCAGGCGGCCTTCCCGCGCCGCGCGGAGACCTCTCCGCCCGCCGCTCGCGCTGCGGCTCGCAGCCGCTCTCGGGGCCGCGGCCCGCGTGCTGGCCCCGAGCCGCCGCGGCCCGTTCCCCCGCCGCCGTCGCCACCCCGTCACCACTCTAGGGGGCGTGCGGCGTCGCGCTCACGTGCGCCGCTTGGGCGTCGCGCGGTGCGCTCTCCTCGAGTCGCTCCGAAGCGTCGCCCGAGCCCCGCCACCTCGCAGCGGCCAGCCGGCTCCCGCGCGGACTCCGCTGCTCAGGCTACTCCGACTTCGGTAGGCATGCGCTCTTCCAGCGATGCTGTTGCGGCCCCGCAGGGAGGAGGGCGTGCCGCCGAGGAAGGGGGGTCTTCGAGCGGCTTCGTGCGTGGCCGAGCTTCTGAACCCGAGCTGCCCCTCAGCGGCGCTCACAGCGGTGACGCTGAAAGCGCCGCGGCTGCAGCCTTCGCAGCGCGGCGCACGGCCTCGGCGGCCGCTGAGCAGCCCCTGCCTCCAGGGGCCGCGAGCGCCCTAGCGTGGCGCCTCAACATCGGCGGCGAGAAGATCACGGTAGTGAGGTGGGGCCCCGCCTGGCAAGCTGCCTTCCAGAGTGCGGCGTCGTGGCTGAGGACTTTCGCACCCGCAGGGGCCGCCGAGCCCGAAGGCAAGGATGACCTGCACTGCCTCCTGCGGGCCCTGCACGCCTACAAGCGCCTGTTTCAGACAGGCGGCGCCGAGCCGATCGACGAGGCCTCGTGGCTGCATCCTTACGCGGCCGTCGTCGAGCCCGAGGCTATTCCCGCACATGCTGACCTCCAGGCCATGGGAGCGGGCGCCATCCGTGGCATCGGGCTCGGCTCAAAGATCGAGCAGCGGCGGCGCGCGGGCAAACTGGCCTGCCTTTTCGACTTTCTGTACCACGTGCAGGACAGTCACGGCGCCATCCCAGCAGCGCTGTGGGGATCCCATTCCCCTCCGTCCGAGATCCTCGACGCCTTCGCGGAGGTGGTGCCCGTGCCTCATCATTCGGGCCTCACGTCCTCGGCAGCTCGTTCCGAGCTGGCCGAAGCAGCCGCAGCGGCGCGTGCCGAGCCGCGCCCGCCTTTTGACTGGCCGACCCTCGAGAAAGGGGACGCTCTGCCAGCCGAGATCGAAGCAGGGGCTCGCCGCGCCTACCGTAACATGGGCGGGTCCTTCAGCTCGGCGCGGGCGATGCTGGCTGAGGCGTCGGGGTTCGAGACCGACGGGCGGGACGCCCTCGTTCCGCCCTTCTACGCGTCCAGGCGCAGGAGGGCCGCCACACTCATCAGCTCTCCGAGCCCTGGCCGCCCTGCGCTCATCCTGTGGTGCGTCTGCGGCCTCTGCATCTCTCTGGGAGCCGCGGCGCCGACCGCCGGCCAAGGGCTTAGTGGAGCTGCGCCGCCCGCGCCCGCTCGCCCTCCGCGCACTCCTTTCGTGCGCGATTCTCACCTCACCTCCGCGTATCTCGACCGTCGTTCGAGATCGATTGATGCCTTCGAGCTGTGGTTAGCAGAACACACTGGCGTGCCACCCGCCACGCTTTACCGAAGCGGGATACTTCTCGCCCGTTTCCTAGCGACCTTCGGCGTGTGGCTTCATGATGCAGGTTTTCCCCATTATATTTTGGTCCACGCCATCTTGGGAATCCAGAGCGCCCATCCGCATTGGAAGGCCTTTCTGACAGAAGCTTGGGACGTAGCGAAACAATGGAAGCTTGCGGAGCCGCCAAAGCTCCGTCCCCCCTTGCCACGCGCGCTGCTGCGCGCCATGGTCGGGCTCTGTCTCGCCTGGGACTGGCCTGTGATGGCGGCACTGCTGCTCATGGGCTTCACGATGTTCCTCAGGCCTGGCGAACTGCTGGCGTCCCGCCGCTGTGACCTGTCGCTTCCGTGCGACCGTCTCGAAGTCGAAGGAGATGCTTTTCTTTCGATTCTTGTTCCAAAGACCAGAAGAACGTACCCGACGCAACATGCTCGCTGCTCCGATCGGGGCACGGTGAAGATATTGAATCTTGTGTTTGGGAGGCTGGCTTCCACCGATCCTCTCGCCCCCTTCGGTGCGAGCGGCTTCCGTACTCGGTGGAATCATCTGCTTTTGGCTCTGGGCGTCCCCCTTGCCAAAGCAGGTCAGGGGCTCAACCTGACGCCCGCTTGTCTGCGGGGCTCTGGCGCAACAGACTTTTATATCGCCACGGAAGACGTCCCTCGCGTCTTCTGGCGAGGGCGCTGGCGTCAGGCTTCCAGTGCCGAACGCTACCTGCAAGCCGCCGCCGCCTCTACAGTTCTTGCTGCGCTCCCCGAGCACGCGCGGGCTCGTATCTTGTTCTTCGCCACCGCCAGCGACCGCCTCGTCGCTTCGTTCCTCCAAGTCGGCCCCGCCGCTTGGCCTGCCCTGCTTGCGGCCGCCCGCCAAAACCTTGTCACTTCGCAAGGTCCTTGAGCACGGGTATGGCTGCCTCGCCGACCTCGGCGACCAGACGGACTCCACCGTCTGACGCGCGGCGCCCCGGCTTGAGCGCGCGGGACGGGCCTGCCCATTTTGGGCCGCCCCGCGCGCGCACGCCGCGGCCGCGCTCGGAGACAGCTCGCTGGCGCGCGAGCGGGAGAATGCTTCTTCTATTCTCTGTGAGCAAGCTCCTGCTGTCTCCGCAGCTTCTCAGCCCCCCTCCCTCCTCTCCCACTCTAAGGCTGACGGGCGCTGCCTCGCCGACCTCGGCGACCAGACGGACTCCACCGTCTGACGCGCGGCGCCCCGGCTTGAGCGCGCGGGACGGGCCTGCCCATTTTGGGCCGCCCCGCGCGCGCACGCCGCGGCCGCGCTCGGAGACAGCTCGCTGGCGCGCGAGCGGGAGAATCATCATCATCATCATCATCATCCCCCGGCCCCCCCTCGTTCCCACCCCCTACCCAGGTGGGGTTTGTGCTGGCCCGCCTGCGCTCCGAGTGGAGGGGCGACCAGTACAGCATCCTGCACCACAACTGCCATCCCCAGGGCGATCCGTCGGAGTGGCCCTGGGTCCACGGCCTGAGAAGGAGGATGAAGCAGAAGGAGGGGACAAAAAGGACGAGGGGGAGGAGGAGGAAGAGGAGGAGGCGGAGGAGAAGGAGGAGCAGGAGCAGGAGGAGCAGGAGGAGGAGCAAGAGCAGGAGCAGGAGCAGGAGGGAAGGAGGAACAGGAGGGTGAGGGGGAGGAGGACAAGCTCGATGCGCTCGCACCACATTTGATATCCGACCTGTTCCTCCCAACCCCCTTCCCATTGCGCTGTGTCTTCCCAAGGACCCGACTTGATGCGCGCAACCTGAAAGGGGGAGTTGTGTATTGTGGAGGAGGAGGAGGAGGAGGAGGAGGAGGAGGAGGAGGAGGAGGTGGCGAATGAACAGGAGGAAGAGTAGAAGGGTGAGGAAGGGCGTGGATGAGGAGGAACTGCAGCAGCAAGAGCAGGAGAAGCTAGAACAGCCGGGGGAACGGAGGGAAAGGGATGGGGCGACAGCGACGTGGAAGCACTCGGATCCAGAATTGTGGCCCGCGCTGGAGCAAGAGCGCCATTCTGAAGGACGGGAGCAAAGCGCCGATCCTGGAATGGAGCCAGCGCTGCAGCGGGGGCACCGATTTGGAAGGGCCGAAATGCTGTTTCCGGACGGGTACACCTAGGAGGACCACCGCAACCGATTCGGCCCCCCTGGGGAGGAGAACGAGAAGGGCAGGACAGCTGCGGTGTTGCTGGCAGCGCGGGGGCGCGAGGCGATAGAGGAGCAGAACGGGGAGCTCATCGGCGCGCTCGCACTGAAGGCGACCGCCTTCAAGCAGGTCGCAGCAGACACCGCCAAGGACGCCACGGGGTCCACAAGCCTCGCGGGGCATGAGGGGCAGTGCCGACCAGGCTGCGGCCGTGCTTGGCAGGACCACCGATTGGCTGCGCGGCGCCTGCTTCGCGCTCGCAGTGGCCGCTTTGCTTTGCGCGGTCTCCCCGCGGCGGCGGCGCGGCTCAAGGCGCGGCTGCGACCGCCTCCGTCCTCGCCGGGCCCGCGCGGGAAAGCGGACAAGGGAGGTCGGCGTGGGAACGGCCTTCCTCGGGGCGGGCCTTCCAAGGAGGCAGCATTACCTGAGGACGCGCAGCGCTCTGCGCAGGTGCCCAGGCTGAGCAGGGCAGAGGCGGGCGCGCGCTGGCTACGAGGGCGCAACAGGCTCGTGGCTGGCGCGCCACGAGCTGCGTGCGCAGCACGCAGCAGTTGGCCCTTGTGGTGCCCAAAGCCAGCTGGCGGCGTGTACAGTTGCTGCCGGCGGGCTCGAGTTGAACGGGCTGCATAAACCGTGGGCAGGGCCGAGAACGCTCGGATCGAAAAAGCACATGCGCAAAAGCGGTATCGCCAAGTCGTGTGCCCAAAGACGGCACGCGCAGGAGGACGCGCCGCTCTCAGGACGTTTTCGGGGGAGAGGAAATCTGAATTCGTGTGGGCCAGGGGGGGCGGAAGCGGAGGAGGATCCAGGGCCAAGGTTGTCGAATGTTTTTCATTTTTGTTCGGGCCTCCTTGGGCGCCCCCGTCGTCACGGCCGGATCCACCCCGAAGTGCTGGTCTGAGTCCACCACAGCGCAGGTCTGGGGGCAGACACCGAGCAGGCAACCCAGGCTTCTGGCGCCCCGGCAGCACCGCGGCGGCTGGCTGTTTCTTTGACTGGGCGCCGGCGGTAAACCGTCAACCTGGTAATCGCCGGGGGCCCTCGTAAAACGAGCCTCTCTGATGCCGACAAGTCATCCTAGGAGTTCCGTAGTTCGCATGCAGCTGCATCTAACGCACGCGTTCAGAATGTGTCTCATGAAATTCGTATTTTTTTTCTGGATGTAGCTGGTTATGCGCCTCCGTACGGTTTTCTCGCGATGGCTTGGGGGATACACTTAATCTATTGCAGCTCCAGCCCCGCAACTGTTACCAGCGAGCGCTGCGCGATCAACTGCTCAGGAAGAACTACGAGGTAACATGTTGTAGAGTGCGAATAGTTTGTCGGTCGTACCTTGGATAGGAGATCGAGCTCAGGTCTTTCAACGCTGAAGACCAATGCCCGATGCTTCTGAATCAACTCGTGCGACGAAGAGCCCTGCAGCTGTTCTACATGTCGGAACCACTTCCGCAAGCCGAACGCGCACCGAAAAATACAGCAGAATGCAAGCCGTTTGCGGTGATAGCTCTGGTTGGGGACCCAGCTCAGGCCTGTCGATGCTCTAGGCCAATGTTTTCCATTCTGTTGAATCGACTCGTCTGGCTAGGAGTTTCGCAGCTGATTACAATGTAGGAATCAAGCCCGTAATTCGAACGCGTGCCAAACAAATGCAATGTGCGAGTCGTGTTTCTGTCAGGTCTCTGGTAGCAGACCGATTTCAAGTCTTTCGATGCACTACACCCATGCTGTCGATTATGTTGAATCGAATGCTGTGGCTGGAAGATCGTAAGCTGCTCTAAATCTGAAAAACACGTTTCAAACCGAACGATTCCAAAAAAAACAATACTGCGTAGTGCGAGTCGTGTTTCGGTCATAGCTCTAAGACCGAGCACGGGCCTCTCGATGCTCTAGACCAATGGCCTCGATACTGCTGCATCGGCTCGTTTGGTTGCGAGCTCTGCAGCTGCTCTAAATCTCGAGATCATGTCACTAAAAACACAATGGGTGCGCAACAACTATGGAGAGTGCGAGTCGTTTTTCGGGCATGGCCCCGGTAGCAGACCGATATCAGGCTTGCCGGTGCTTTAGGCCCATGTTTTCGACGGTGCAGAATCAATTCGTGCGACTGGGAGCTATTCAGCTGCTCGAAATCTTGAGGTCAAGTCCGCAAGCCGAACGCGTTTTTTTTTTTTTTTTTTTTTTGTTTTTTTTTTTTTTAAAAAAAAAAAAAAAAAAAAAAAAAATGGCAGAGTGAGAGCAATGTGTCGGTCATAGATCGGATAGGAGGCCGAGCTCAGGCCTCGCGAGGCTCTACACCAATGTTTTCGACGTTGCTTCGACTGGTGTTACTGAGAGATCTGTAGCTGCCCTAAATGGCGAGATCAAGTACCTAAACCGAACGTCCGGCTAAAACGTGGAAGAATTTGAATAGTTGCCCGGTCGATGCTCGGGTCGCAGACCGATATCAGGCTTCTCGTAGATCTAGATCAATGCTTTCGATGCCGCTAAATTCATTGCTGCGCCCAAGAGCTCCGCAGCTGGCCTGCGTCTCGGCTTAAGCAGGGAAAACAACATCTTTTGCAAAATATCGCTCTCCAGGTTGCAGCTGCAGCCCTGGCACTTTCACCAGCGAGCGCAGCGCGATCGAGTGCTCAGCGAGAATCTGGAATTGCAGAACGACTGGTTGCAGATTCCCTAGCCCAGGTCACCGCAAAGTTCGTTCTGGCTGGATCGGCCATCTAGCTCCACCCTGCGCCCTGATTCTTCTTAGCTCATCTAGCCGAAGAGCTCCGCCGCGGCGGCTGGCTGTTCCTTTGACCCGGGCACGCGGGGGCCTACTTCGGGCCCCGGGAACATGGCTTTCTGAAAGGGCAGTGAAGTCTGGGAACCAGGAGGAGGAGGAGGAGGAGGAAGAGGAGGAGGAAGAGGAGTACAAGGACGACGACGAGGAGGAGGAGGAGGAGGAAGAGGAGAAGGGGAAGGAGGAGAGGAGCCTCTCCCCCTCGCTCCGCCACCCCCTTCCTCGCTCTTACGCCCCCTCTTCCTCGCTTCTCCATCCTCCGGCATCGCCCCTTCCCCCCCCCCCCCTTTCTCCTTCTCATCTTCCTCCTTTTCTTCCTCCTCCTCCTCCTCCTCCTCCTCTTCCTCTTCAGCCTCTTCCTCCGATTCCCCCCCCTCCTCTCAAGCCTCGTGGCCCGAACCGCGCGGGCAGCCGCGCGCCCGGGCCGCCTGCGACGCGCGCGCGGGCGCGGGGTGGCGGGGGGGGCCCGCCGCCACCGCGGCCCGCGGCTAGATGGGGCGCTTCCGAGGAGGTTGCAGAAGCCATCGCAGCGAGACGACGACGACCGACAGCAGGCCAAGGGCCCCACGGGCCGAAGCGGCAGGGGCAGCAGCAAAGCGCCGCCCGGGCACACTGGCGGAGGGCGGCGCTCGCCGGGCGCAAGCCGCGCCGCCGGCGACACTGCGGCCAGAGCCGCCGAGGTGAGTGTTGCGCGCGCCCCGGCCGCCGGGCGGGCGAGAGCTGGGTTTTGGCCGAATCGGCGGGCGCGCCAGGCTAGCGCGGCTGCAACCGGCCCAAGAAGGACGACGGCCCCACGGCGGCGGAGCTCGAAAAGCAGGCGCTAGCCAGGACGGGGCTCGACGCCGAGGGCCCGCGCGCGCCGCGGGCAGCGTCGGCTCGGCCAGGAGCTCGCCGGACAGCGCGACAGCAGAGGCGGCGCCGCAGCTGGCCAAGATCCCAGCCCTGGCGCCAGCGTCTACGGCGACCCAGCCCGCCGAGCCCAAGCTGGGGATCAGGCGCGAGGCGGCCGCGCTCTGCCGGCGCCGGGCCCAGCATAACCAAGAGGAAATGGCGATTCAGGTCACGCAGCTGGATCAGCGCGAGAAAAAGCTGGCCGGCATGTTGGACGAGGCCATCGCCGTGGTCTTCGCAGCCAAACATGGGTTCAGCGAGTTGCAGCAGGAGGTGCGCAAGGCTGGGGCAGGTCCAGTCGAGCAGGATGCACCGATGCGCGCAGCCAGCCGACGGATGGGGCGAGGTCCTCGAACTTGGGCCAGACGACCTCGATCTCTTCGAGCCACGTATCAACGGGCAGTTGGCCCGGCCGCGCGAGCAAAGAACACGTTCGGTGCGCGCGAGAAGGAGGGGGGGATCGGTCAAGGATGGGGGCGCGACGCTACGCGAGCTCCAAGCCAGGGCCCAGAGCCGCAATCGCCGACGTGGAGCAGTCGGCCGCGACGCAGCACCATCCCAACAGGCAGCGGCAGCAAAGGCCGCGGAAGGCGACGCAGAGGCAGCGGCAGGCCGCACGCAAGCGCGACTTCCCGGACCCAGAG